GTAATAGGAATGTATAATAACAAATTCAACATGCCAGCATTGTTTAAGTATATGTATAGCCTATACATGCTTAATACCGTAAAATAAATTTCGCTGCGCTCGAAGTATCGTTTAGGAGATTATATCTTCTCTATCTCACGGTAACCAGATTAACGATTAAAAAGAAGGGAAAGGGAAGTGCAACGCGATACTATGAGTAAAATTACGATCAGGACGACGACGGATAGAATAGTGACGGAGGATTTGTCGTTTATAAATGGCGCGTCAACGAACAAAATCACGACTGACAGAAATTCCGGTAGTAAATACTTGGATGGACATGCGAGGAGCTGTTCTTGGATCATTCCAAAGCGCCTTTCGCACCTGTCGAATCTGTATCCCGATTCCGGGTGCCGGTTATTCTCTATCTGACCCGAATCCTAGCGCGTTTCTCTCCGGTGCTTTTTTTATCGGCTCAATTCAATTTAACGCGGTCCTCTTCGATTCGGTTTCATTTATTAAGATTGCTCCAGTTAGCTACAGCCTCGACTCACTTGTCCATCAGCTTACTTATCACTTTCGATCACGTCGATCGTGCTCAAGTTCCGGTCCACGGACTTCAGATTTTTAACGTATCGCGCCCTGTCTACAATGATTAAACGTCAAACTTTGCTCCTTCGCGGTCGTAACTTCTATTCAACGAACTCTGGGGCCAAACATTTGACCCTTCGTTTAAAAAATAACAATTTTAGTTTGATTCAACAAACATATTTGTGAATCTGATACAGTTTTACATCTTCGATTGATTGAGCAACCACTCGTGAACGTCGCTGCACACACGTTCTGGTCAATTTCGAAGGTAATTAATAAAGAGCGACAGATTTGTTGCCCCTGTTGAACCGAATTCGAGGTCCTTAATTTTCCGCGTCCTGCATTTCCGCGTGTCCACCGAGTTTGCATGTTTGTCAAGGACGCGCGAGTATTTACCGTGCTGCGACTGGTCCCGGGTTTTAACGGTCGATCTCCGGTACGACGTAAGTTTCTCTGGGGTCTATTTCCCTTAATTAACGCAGCCCTTCGTTTTATTTTTCGCAGGTGGTCCTGTCGGCGTGCAGCACGTACTTCGACACGATTCTGTCCCAGTACGAGGAGAAGGACCCCATCGTCATAATGCGGGACGTCAAATTCTCAGACATCAAAGTACTCGTCGAGTTTATGTACAAGGGAGAAATTAACATCGACCACGTGAGTGACACACAGTTTTTTCTCAAATTGATCGAGTGCTAATAAATTGTTTGTAAAACTCATCGCTCTCGCATCGATTCATTCCTGAAAAGGTTAAAATAAATATATTTCTGACACGTCCCAGTTTTATCGCGATTTGTATCACGAGCGCGGTGTTATTTCAAGGCGACTGGTTAAAATTGTCTCGGGATAGACTCCGGCACTCTTGTTGAAAAAGGGAATTGGAACTGGGGCTCTCGCGTATAGATGTTGTTCGGCACGTGTCCCCCCCGCCGCCGGTCGATCGTCGAAATTAAAACTGATTAAGGAAATAAAGCCTGCGGAACGTGGCTGTTTCGAGCCTTTTCAGACTTCACAAGGCGACTTATTTACATCGTGGACATTATGAGGGCACTTGTGTTCCGCTGACGGTGGAAAAAGTGTTTGAGGCGGAGGGGCCGGGCAGGGCACGGGACTCTGGCCTCAATTTATTAATAATTGAAGACTCGTGCTCTTCGAGGTTCGAGCGTGCCGCACTTCAAAGCGACTCCGGACTTCCCATCGGTTCGCGGGCAGAGAAAAAAAAAAATTCCTTCGCGAAGATGCAATTTGTTTTGCCGCGTGCGCGGTCAATCGATTCCCCTTTTGCTTTTTTCCTTCCGACTCCTCTCGTCTCTAACGAAATAAAGAAGCGTCACTTTGTGCCGTCGCTTTGAAAGCGATTGCTATGAAAATCGAATCGATACTCCTCGTGTACTGCCCCTCTAATTACAACAAATACCGAAGTGTTTGAAGCAACCGAATCATAAATTTTCATCGGCCCTCCACGAGCGAACGAAGATAAGCATGTTTTTACCGAGCCGAGCCTTTTCCATTACATTTTTCTACTTAAATAATAGTCAATTTTAATAATAGCTCGGAAACTCGTTTGTTCTATAAAATCGTTACCGGCAAGAAACACGCGACCGTCGTTTAAACTTTGCAAAAGAAAAGATAAATTACTCCCGGTCGCTCGTTAATTAACTAACAGAGCGACCTGTGTAATCGATACTACACATTTCTCGATTCACGGTAAAAACTAGCTGATGGATTTCATTCGCGAGTCCCACGCGAAATTCTAAACTCGTTACGAGATACACAGTTTCTCTTTACCAGCGCGTTTGTACAATTTGCAAACCGTGTCCCCTAACGAAAGTCGAGTATCGTCAAAAGTCTCATAGACGTCGAGGTGTTCCGTTTCAGGCTCACCGCGTAAGGTCGCGTACGCGTTTATAGAATCGAATTTGGTCTAGAATTCTAGAAAGAGGACCCCGTACATGCATACGTCGGGTTCTCGGTATTTCTAGTCGTGATCAGGCAATCGGGTTCAAGCGGAAGCTTTCTCCAACACGGTGGCCACGTTTTGCCTGCGAAAAATCCGGCTCCGGTGAAAACAACCGTGCTTCGGCATTAGGTCACATGTACACCCCCGTCCATAAGTATTACGACAATCAGAGTTAAAAGAAATCTGCGGAGGTGGCAGTATTCCCTTTCCAAAGGGATCGAGTTATAAAATTACGTTCAGACCACGGCGTTCATGAATCTATAAAGAGATTCAACAGGGAAACAGGGAACGTAAACGTTTACTGTGTGTAAAAGAAATTTTTATCTACAATGCATTTTAACATGAAAATCAACGGTCTAATTATAATAATGGGAGTTCGTGCCGAAACAATGGATATTCTAATAAACGAAATCTAATCTGAGAAATTACATGCAGAATTCGATTGGATTTGCGTAAGGTCAGGACGCCGGGCGACGATTGTTGAATCTTTTCCGAGGCAGAAACGTCAACGGCATCGGTGCACGTACTCGTATATGTAGAAACGCATACAGACGAATAACGGCTGTTTCTGAAATACACATTATTCCCGGTGCGCCGAAGACGCTGACCCACATAAGCGTTTTTCCGATTCCGGCCGTGGCCGATAGAAAGCCGCCGTTTGTAGAAAGTTCCCATATTATTTAGCATTCTCTCGGTCGCTGTGGCATTATTGCGGTGAAAATTGGCAAAATAATAATTGGACCTATTCCGATGTGTCCAGCTGCTGACCCGATCTATGTATAGATACGTACGTACGTATATACGTACAATACAGCTGCGATACCTATACCGTCCTTTTCCTCTATCCGATTTATTACTCCCGAGGAATTCGGATTCAGGTACGAGTTCGAGCCGGAAAATTGAAGCGGATTAATGGAATTACTAATTTTCTTTTTTTTACTTCCGCCCACGCGATTTTTCCCCCAGTTGATTCGTCGATAATTAGATTTACCTAGCGCTGCTACCCGAGCAGGATTTCTTGGTTCTCTTTTCTCGTTATTGTGCCCCGAAGAAATGTCGCGGGATTGAGGAAAAGGGGAAAAATTCGTCGCTTTGACTCGTGCCAAAAATGCGAGTCGTATATTACACCGTTTATGCCCCTCGAGCCCGTGGCGGCGCACGGAGGAAATATTGAAAGCAGATCGGTTAAAAATATTGCTGCTGCCTTTTGCCCGCGGTAACTCTTGCCAGGAACGGTTAAACCACTCGGGCTAATGTTGACCGAAAAGAGACTACTTACCTTGATTAGTTGGAGAGCCGTCGAGAATGTAGCTGTCTCGAATTGAGACTGTACAGTCGCCCGTTGCGAATTTTGATTCCTCGTAAGCCCGCGTCGCGTAATAATCCGTTCTGGTTAAAAAATTTTTGCTCGATCGTAGCCGAGGGCGGAATGAAACCGGGACCCGCGACCCTTGAAAGGATTAAACGACAAAGAGCTCCACTCGCGTCAAAAGAAAGAAGAGAGGCTCGGCGCATATCTTTTGAAAGTTCTGTTTACGGGCTTGATTAAAGTCGGTCGCCGCGCGTCGATATTTTCCAGACGAGATTGTCGTCCCTGTTGAAGACCGCGGAGGATTTGCACATCAAGGGGTTGGCCGAAGTGAGCTGGCGTAGCGATTCCACGCAGAATGATCTGGCTAACAGCGGGCACAGTCCTGGCGCGGCGACTCCAGGTGTCGAGACGGTCCTCAGGGAAGGCGAAGCCGACGAACCGCCGCCTCCGAAGCAGAGACGCAGGGGGCGTCCGCCCCTGGACGATCCACCCTCGGCACACGACGTCTTCACACCGAAAATTACCTGCATCACCGGAAATGTACATCAAGTATAACTTAAAATGGTTCTTTCATTCTCTTTTGCTTTATCGGATTAAAAATCATCTTCACACGTCGCTTTAAACAGTGATAATACGTTTGATTAGCTTTCCTTGTGCGAAGAACCTTTCATATCTTTTGTAATCAATCTCTTCCTGCAATACTGAACAGCTGTTTAATTCGTCTGTATAAATCGATGTCTAGGAGGAAATGATGAGCGAAGGTGGTGACCATGAGAGCTGGGACGATGAAATGATGATGAACGAAGCTGAGACTCCACTGCCGGTGGTAAGGATTTCAATTTACATCTTTTATTCTCACAGTAGATAGTAAACTTGAAATTCTTATTAACTACATGAATAATCATCGAGATCTATCGAAGAGATCTGCTTCTCTCGTCCGTCCTATTTTAACGGTCATCGTATTTGTTTTCCAGTTATCATACATGTCAAAGGACGACAACACATCCGACCAGGAAAAAAAAAGTAAGTATTCGATGAAAAGTATTCTAATCGTGATCAGAAGGAAGATCGTAGAATAAAAAACATGCAAGAAACAATCGATTTTGCTTGATACGTAGAGGACGGGCTCAGAGCGGAGACGCGCGCGTATTGTTCGGTAGGCGCGTGATCTAACCGCGGTGTATGATTTTGCTGCAGCGCCTACCACACCCTCAAATTCCAACGCCACGAACCCATCGATCCCCGAGCAATTCCGAGACGTCGTGAAGATGAACGATTACTTGACGACGGGACGCCGCCAGGAGTTCTGGGAGGAGCCGTTCACGCGACGCGTTATGGATGCCATTAAGAGCAAAGAACTGGAAATGAAGACTGCCGCGGAGATACTTGGCGTCTCCTACGGAACTCTCTACGGCAGATATCGCGACAGTTATGGTTGCCTTAAACACCCGTATAGGTAAATGGAAGATGGAATACTTCATTGCTCTCGCGTCGCGACCGTTTACTACCACCTTCCTCAATGCTTTACGAGCCATACTCGGAAATATTTTTAAACGATTGTGTTCACCGAGATAACGTCGGTAGTCGATAGCCGGGAGTCCGGTTCGAAAAAGAAAACAAAGAAAATTTTCTCGAGAATATGAATTCGTTACGACGCGCGCTAAGTGAAATCGTCCATTAACCTGCTTTCTTCGGCTTCGTTTTTACAACACAGCCTTCGTACGGGAAAACGTCTTTTTCGTTTCCTTATAGCGATTTCAACGCGTTTCGAGGTATCAATGAATGGGAACGAATTTGTTCGCAGAGTAAGGGATTTTTGGTCGGAGCCAGGGCCAGCAGAGGTGCTCGCCAAGCTCCGGAGGAAAGAGATCACGTTGTTCCGAGCAGCCGAGTTCCTTAACGTGACCGTCCACACGTTGGCGACTTATTTGTCGACGTTGCAGGGCCCGGACAGGATCTCGTTGGCCGGCGACCTGAGCGTGGCGTCGAGCGCGACCGACGGGATCAACGACACGCCGGAGAACAACGAGCCAGTGAACGACATCCTCCAGAAGATAAGCGCAAACGCGGGGACCACTGCGACCCCGACCACCTCGACGCCCATCAAACGAGAGGGCGGCGGTTACATCGAGGTGCCGACGCCCGTCCCGAAACCCGCGACCTCGGTGCTGGAGAACAACCCCGACATAACGATCGTCAAAACGGAGAACATGCCGCGCAAACGGGATTACACAAAGGTTTCGAACACGGAAAACAACAACGCGAAATTGATGAGCGGCGGCGCGTTGAGCGAAGTGACGCAGCAACAACAGCAGCAGAAGATCACCGACCCATTGTCGTTAAACAACGACAACAGCAAACCCTAACTATTCAGGCCTTACCTGCAACCGGCGAATCCCCGTGGACCGACCGCCAGCTACAGATCCGAGCTGTGCCCGCGAAGATTCTACTCGAACGTGTTTACTCGCTTTCTCACGAATTTTCATTTGAAGTAGAGGAAGGTGGCGGATAAACGCATCTCGTGTTTATAATAATTATTATGTCCGTTATATAATCGTACTTTCGACGCAGTCGCTGCCTTTGGCCCGTTAATGTTAGACGGAGTTCGCTGATGCTCCGCGCACGCCAGCCCACGCCAGCAGAAAGGAAAAAGAAGATGTGTAGTTTTAGACAATCGCGCGTGTACGATCGTCGTTGGTTACAGGCTGGCGTTGCATCGAGAGGATCGGAACTCGTGCAGCGAGTAAACACGAACAAAATTAAAGTGGGATTTCCAGAGCGGATCTAAAGGTGCTCGGGGGATGACTCTTGTAATGGTTCGCGTCCGGAAGTACTGCCTACGGATCCGGCTTGACTTCCAATCCCGTTGCACGGATGCAACGCCAGCCCAGCGTTATATTTTCCGAGTATGAGGCGAGCAGAGAGTGTGTAAACATACTAGAGATCGAATTCCTTCTCATAAAACATTAGTACCTAGCGATACGGTTCTTCGTTACTTCAAAGAAAAAAAAATGATTGGTTTCGCTTTAATAAATCCAAACGTCGTCGGTTCAACGATTATCGATCGTGTTTGGCCTTCGTGACAATGGAAACGGAAACAGACAAGGGAAAATGAAAAGAGGACGAAAAAAATGAAAGAAACGGAAATGTGTAATAAAGTTCAATCGAAGTTCCTTTTGAATAACGATGTGTAGGGTGTATCGCGAAAAAAAAAATGAATGCCTAGACTATTTTCTGCCGCATGTGTCTGTATGGTAGCACGTATAAAGAGCGACAATATTATTCACCCGTAGACCCAGTCAGTATAGTGTTCCCCAGAGTGACAGTTCTTCGTGAAAAAACGAAAAGTAATTAGATGACTCTCGTGCGATCGCCGTGTATTGAACAAACGACGCACGAACTTATGATTTTCAACGATCAACACACATTGGAAATACACTTCTGCAACGGGAGCCTTACAATCACGCAAGCGTTTCAAAAAATGTTTTACATGTTCATGCGCTATTCGCCGACATGATTAATTTATACTATAATGACTATTATTTTCAATGTACGGTGACGTTTGCCTTTTATTTTTAAATGATGATCCGCTCAAATCTTCTCAACATTCAAAATGTTCGAAATTGATGCGGGGATCTAAGCGCGATGAGAAATGGTACAATTTTTTTTATTTGTTATTTTCATTTCGCTCGTTTCTATTCTTCTCTTTGTCTCTTTTTCCTCTATTTTTACGACAGTATATACATAAATATATAAATAGTTAGAATTCGTTGCACTTTAGAGACGGTATACTTTAGATGCGTCGTTTAGGTATATGCGCGAGCTTTCTTTCCTCTTTTCTCCTCTTTTTATATATACACATATATGCATATATACATATGTATACACGTTTTAAGTAGATTTTATTTAAGCGATGATCGATAATCGAAGATCACTAAATCGGAAAGGAGATATACACGCATAACGTCCATTGTAAATATTGATGCAATAGTAAGACCTAAAATTAATCTTATTTGTTAATCGCTATTTTAAAGGGGAGGCAAAAAGTTACGAAGGGAGGGATATGCTGTTTTTAGTGTCGCTTAATCGCGTTCGGATCTTTCGCTTGTTAAGGGACAAGACAAGACGAGACGAGGTGGAGTATGTATACAAAATGGAGGTGAGGCGATGCCTCGTTGGTCCACGCCAACTTATAAACCTTTACTTTTCGTAATCGGAGAAGAAAAGAAATCGTTCGAGAGGCGCTGTTGCGTCGCGTCTACCCGAGGTCAGGCACCAAACGCGGATAAAACAGATTGAAACGAGGCCGCACGCGCGCGCTCGTCATTTAAACCGTAATCCACTTTTTTGACTGGAGACAAACAAAATGAAAAGTTAAACGACGAGTATTCCTGTTCGGTGAAGGCAAACAAAACAAAGCAAAACAACAAATATAAAAAAAACTAAGTACGAACTAATAGTATAGTAGAGGTATTCTCGATATGATATTTTTCGACGATATAAGACTTAGTTGCATTGAGAGGACTCGGACACGAGGAGAGAGGGGTACTTGTAAAGTAATCCAGAGGAAAAAAAAATCGTGTGCAATTGTGACAGTCGGACGAGCATAAGAGTAAAAAAAAACCACGAAGTGTGTTGTAAAAGAAGCGAAGAATAATTTAGTGTCGCGAGGCGGTATGGGAACGAGATAAGAAAAAAAATGGTACTGTGAAGTGTGTGTATATATAGAAAGCGTACGTTTAAATAATAGAGCGATGGAATGCATGAATGAGCACACACCGAGAATATTATTCATATATATATGTATACATACACGCGCGTGTGTGTGTATATATATGTATAGATATACGAGTACATATAAAAATATTATACATACATATATATATACATACATATATATATACATACATATATATATATATATATATATCTCTTTTTCTCTAGAGGAAAATTCTAAAATCGACTGACTATTAATGTTAAAAGAAAATCGCTCCACGAGCAAAAGAAAATAGCGTTATACATTATGACAAAGAGCAGTAGTATTTTCCGGGATGCGTGTTAAAGATATTTTACGTTTCTCATTTTTGTTTCATTTTTCTAGCAGTCATCGTTTTTCGATGGATAATCTTTTTGATTACTTTACGAGTGCTCTCGACCGACCATTTTACCACGTATAAGAATCATTTTATATGATAACTTCGCACCGTTCGATATTTTATTCGCGATCGTATGGTACACGATGACGTATAGATCTGTTCATTATTTCACTCATTAATTTAAACCGTACTCGAGTTTCATTACGTCTCTCTCTTTTTTTTTTCAACAGACGTGTATTGAGCGCGATTAGTATAATAGTTTCTTCTACTCTCTCTATCTATCTATCTATCTATCGAGCGTACATTATCATTATTATTACTGCTATTATTATTGTTATTATTTTTTCTCTTTTAAGTAAAATAAGACTAAGACATACCAAATGTGAAATGTAAGGACAAGTTTTGTTAGGTTAGTACTATCGCATATCAAGAACGCAAAAAAAAAATAAATACATGCGCCAGAAAGCACTCTGTATTGCCTATGCACGTCCCGGTGAAACCGTAATAACGCTGGGGCGCATAAGACCACTTACTCTAACAAGGAGTATACGACTAGAAGTATTAATATTTAATATCAATAATCAACGCGGATTGCCCAGAATGGATGGTCATGTTTTTGACGATCAACTTGAGTCGAGTCCACTCAGAACAAAAAGGAACAAAGAATTTTTAATTTTAAACGTCAAAAAGAAAGGAGAAACTGAAAGAAAGAACGATTGTTAATTTCTCGAGCATTCGTTGATTCCGTTTCGCTTTTAATTTTTATTTTCTCGTTCATCATCGGCCATTGATCCTTGGAAAAATTTCGTACTACTTTTTTTTCGTACGCCGTCCATGCAACACGGACACCAAGCATCGTAACTTTAGTCTATTTCTTTTTACGACGTCTTTTTTATCCGAGACTCGATCATTTTTAAGAGGGAAGATTTTGCTAGAGTACAAATTACTTGGGACTTTTTATTAACCCTGTTGGCGCGAGGGAAGAAAACCTTTTTTACCCTCAGAAAACCCTCCTCCTCTCCCCTGCGCCCCTCCTTCCCCGAAACGTTTTCGAAATGAGTTTTGCCCTGAGCGCATGGCCAGCGTTTCGCGCACGCGACTTCGCTTCCGGTACCTTCTTCGCTTCCAACGTGCGCGCCAACACGGTTAGCGTCTATTGCCCTTAGACGATTACGATTAATCTAAGACGCTGTTTCGTTTAATTTGTTCCTTTTTCTTTACTTATTTCTCTGTTTATTAGTTTTGTTTTTTAACGAAGAGATCGCACGCAATGCCAAAACCGTACGTCTCAAAGACTGATGGCCATTCAATTTGGAGTTTCTTGTAATGGTAATCTCAAGCCGGGCGAGGTCCTGCGTTAAACGAGAGATAGAGTGAAAATAAAACTGCGTGACGAGATCAGGACCGTGCCGGAATTACATCGACGAATTGTATGAGAAGACAGGACAAGACTAAATATTATAGCCTATTATTGGCGAACGATGCCCGATCGCCGTGAGCATCGTACAATGAGACTAAAAAAAATTGATATCATAATTAATGTGTCGTTTGATATAAACGAATAATGAATATAGTATGTATCATCGTTTTATACACAACCTAATTATATCTACGTACACTATGTACATTCCTAGTATACACTAATTGTCACTGTCACACACTCATCGCATTACACGCGCATTAACGAAAAACAAAAATGTGAAAAAAAAAAGAACAATTACGCATATGGACCTATCGTCGTATACGTGTACGCGCGGGTGCATCAGCGCGCGGATTTAAAAGATAATGAAGGAACGCGTGAGCCGCGCGCGAATGCACGTACGCGCACGCAGGGACATATTAAACACATTATAAATATATTTATAATAATTATATAGCTATTCCAAAAACGGACCACCGCGACATCGACATACGAAAATCATTTAAAAAGGAAAAGATACAAAACGGGATAGGAGGAAAACGAAGGAGATTATAACGCGAAACCCTAATTGACGATACGTGCGTAATTAATGATCGTCGGTTAAATTAAGCCAGCGTTTACGTTTGGTTGTTAAAGAGAGAACAGCAGCGCCGTTATCAGTGTCTCATGTATAACAACACAACAATCGAATCAGTCAATTTCCCGATACACCGGCCGAGTGTATTTACGTATAAATACATACTTATTACAGGTGAAACGTTGTTAAAGAATTTAAATGATGAAAAATGATATCGCGCATGTATAGCAAAAGAACGGTTGTTACACTTGAGCACAATAGAGAGAAACAAAG